TTCCCATTCCACTTTCTGACCCAAGTTGAATGCTCTGGAGCAGGTCTTGTACCCACCGGGTAAACAAGGAGAAATAAGGGTACAAGAGAGTAAATAAAACTGGTGTTCTGGTCCAGGACCCAATGGCACGTCTTATGTGATACTTCAAATACAAACCAGCAAGTTACAATTCCACACTTGTATTCACATAAAGAATTCTGTGTCCTTTGAAGGAAACTGAAAACAGGGATAAAATTTAAAACATCTGGGTTTTAGAGCTGTGATTCCGTATCTGGTACCTACGTCAGAATATCTGTATAAAGAATGTTGAAGCAGAATTACGAAGTGGTGAGGGACACGGGCTCGTTTTAAAGCCTCTACCAGCCGTAAAGTTTAATTTACTCAGTCCTACTGCACCCAATCAATATGAGGCCCTTGGAAACAACTGTAAATTTTAATCATCTGTGTGACTGTGATTGAAGATTCCTAATAGCTACCAGGACAAGGAGGACCAAAGAAATTATCTAAAGGATTCTGTTTCACAGTTTAATGGATTACCTCAATGCGAGAGAAGTAAGATCCCATGAAGTTTGGGGGGTGGATCTCCTACAAAGGCTTGAGATGTGGGACTTGGGAAGTAGCTCCAAAACTTACCGTAGCATACATTAATGAACAAGCATAGTCCATTTCTACAGAAACATCTTACTTCCTATTACCAGTCAGCTTTTATTTTCTTCAGTATTCTATACTCTCAGCACCTCCCCTACTACGAACTCTTGATTTTCTTTTGACTGTTTAAAAATAAAGTCTTCATGTTTTCTTATCTGTCAGGGAACTTTGCCTAGGTTTAACATGTCATATAATTTTAAATGATTCACCTCCTACAAACACAACCCACTTTCTGCATTTAACCTGGAACTAAGTAAAATTCCCTGGTTCTATTATATATTAGATTCATGATTTCAAATCCAGTTCACACATACAACTCAAATTTCTGCATCACCTGCGTTCTGGAATTCGGATGAGAATTACTGTATCTACAAAGCTTTTAAAAACTTTAAGTGAAAACAGATCCTTTTTAGATTGATACCGCCAAATCACTTAATACCACTGTGATCCTTAAATGTCTTTCCTAATGAAATTTTCATGAGGTTATTGTCATTGTGAAAGAAGGCCCTGCCTCAGTCTGATTACTGCTGTTAGAGCCCCAGACCAAAGCAGAATAATAAAGGACTTTGAGTCCTATGTTTAAAACCAGTATCAAATAGTCACAAAAACTATATGAAAGTTTAAACTCTTGACTCAGTAGTTTCCTACATGGGAATCTGTCTTAAAATAATTCAAAGAATAAAAAATTATCAGATTAAATGTCATTCAGCATTATATATAAATAATGTAAAACACTGGGACCAATGACACTATCCAAAAATACAGAAATAGTTATGTAAATTATGGGAAATCAATTTGATGGACTATTATATAAAGCCACTGCAAGAGTAAAGAAATTGTTGTGAAACACAATTTATCGAGATTACACAATAATTTACAATACAGTTCAGCAGAAAATCACAAATGAAAAACAAAAATGAGAAATGGCACTTGAACACACTGCAACAATTAAAATTAATAAATTATATAGCTCATTTGTTTTCTTTACATTTTTAAAAATACTGTTTTATCAAAGATTTTACAATAAATAAAAATGGGAAAAGTAAATATAAAAAGTTATTTTCTTTTTTTGAGAAAGACCTGGAACTCACTATGTAGCCCAGGCTGGTCTCCAACTTACAGCAATCCTCCTGCCTCAGCCTCCCAAGTGCTGGGATTACAGATGTGTGCCACCACACCTGGAAAAAAGTTATTTTCTAAAGCCAATAAAAGCTAAATTTGAGTTTTTATAATTTCACTTAGAAAATTATTTTCAGAATCAGAAGCACTAAGCTAAATTTCCATAGTTTCCAGATTACATGAGTTTCAAGATTTCAGTTTTACTTTGGACCTCTTTAATCCCTTTCTCGGTCTCTATAAATGGATATAATAACCAGAAGAAAGGAAATGGCAGAAGATTCATTACTACAGACCATGATTACCTAAACTGCACTTTTGATTTAAACATCAGAAATCACAAATGGAGGAAGACTTAGAAAAAGGTTCCTGGAGAGGAAAATGAGTTTTCTTCTTTTTGTTTATTGTATCGTGCATGTTATAAGAATTGAAAAGTTCTTCCAGAAATGTAAAAATTTTATTAAAAAAAAAAAGAAAAAGGTTTCTTGTGGATTAGAATCAACAGTTCTTTTAGCCCTAAGAATTATGTCTCTTCTAACCCTTTAGTGAGGAGAAATTGAGTGTTGATGTCAGAAACCAATGATCATTCCATTCTCTGTAATGCTGCACAGCAACTGTGTAACATTATCCAATCAAATATATACATATATAGTATATATTCATATGTATATTATGTGTGTGTATATATATA